TATATATATATATATATATATATATATATAATTTCTTAGAGGGAGAGTTTGTCACAAGTAATAATTTTATTTTTTTTATTTATCAAAAATACAATAACATATATTATCCGACTCCATTAACTTAACCTTAATAACAATTAGTAATTCTACTTACTTTTGAGAAAATATCCTTAAAGGAATAATAAATACATATGGTATATAACAAAAATAAATAAATAAATTTGTTTGGGACAATGTTGTCATTATTGGTACTATATGGGATATTAAAGTTGCAGATGTTGGGTGGTGAAGTTTGTAATTGGACTCCATGGTAATGGGTGGTAGGTTTTTTCAGCTTTTAACTGCGCGCCATCCTTTCATTTCATTATCATAACTTTCCCGAGAGATCTCAATTCTTCACTGCTCAGAATTTCACTGGGTAATTTCTCACTCACTACTTTTTTGCACCGTCTTTGAACTCTGATTATTTCCAATTTGGTTTCAATGCTACGTTCATTCAATCAATTGTGGAATTCAATTTCCCCTTTTCATTAATTGCAGCGTATCAGCTACAAATATAATCTTTGTGCAAGTAAGAATGAAGAATTGGGTTTGAAGTTAGGGCAAGTGGTGTGGTGTGGTGTGTTGTCCTCTTTTTCCAAGCCTTAATTCTCTCTCTGAAATTTGGAGCACTCTATGGAGTCTGTGCTTGGTAATTGGCCATCCTATGACCCTCACAACTTCAGTCAACTCCGGCCTTCTGATCCTTCTAGCTCTTCTGTAAGTTATTGTTGTCTAAGAAATTGATAAGAGAGCTCTGTATTTGCAATCTTTAGAATTTTAAGTTTGTTTCTTTTTGTCACATGGTAGAGTATTTGTTGACATTCTGATTGTCATTACTACTTGGATAATCATAATTCATAATAGGCAAATGGCATTGTGCAATTGTCTTTTTTTTGCCAATTTAGCTTGTGTTTGGTTGAGCGTTTTCAGGCCACATCTTTGTGAAAATTCACATAAAGTTTATGAAATGTCGTAGAAGCAACTAATTTTAACATTAGGAATGACACGCGTCTAAGGCTATCTGACGTCAATCCAAATATGTAATTAATCTCAATAATTTCACTGTTTTCTTTTTTTCCTCTATACATTTTTTGCTATTGTGGAAAGTTTCTGTGAAAGTTTTGAAAGTTTGGAACTTTTCAAGTATGTGATGATTTCCTTTTTTTCCTTTCGTCTGTTGTCATTTTTTACACTGAAAATAGTACAATAAAACTTGGCTTTCTTGTTCAATATTGTATCAACAGTAAACTCTTCAGTAACAGAAGTCTTTTACTTTGATTTCTAATTAGTTGAAAAAGCTGAAGTTATACAAAATTTCTCCTTTATATTATAAAAAAAAATCTTTCTAGCTTTCAGCCACATCAGCTTAGCCTGACACAAATTTAGTTGTTTCCACAGTACTTTTTGATGAATGAACTCGTTCTTGTCTTTTCCATAAATTTGCTAATTGCTGATCTGCTAAATTACAAGTAAATACATATCACCCATGTAATTTAGCTGTTGAAAATGAAGGAGATCGTTGAATTCATTTGATACCTCTGCTGAAGCATATAAGTATGCTTACACTATACATAATTCTTGTTTTATGTTTAACAATGGGTAAGACATGTCTCTGAACGATTACATTTGATAAAATGGAAGCCTAAATATGAGTATGACATATGTGATCTTGAAGATAAACATATTGAGTAGGTCACTGTTATTCCTTATCGTTTTCTAACCAAGTCATGGATAAACCAAACATTTTTAGGCTCAAGTTCTTTTTATGTAACTTGTTACTCTTTTTTGTTCTAAATTACATTCTGGATCAACTAATGATTTATTTTCTTTTGCTTTCTAAAATAAGATTTCTGTTCGCATGCAGAAAATGACTCCAGCTACTTACCATCCAACTCACAGTAAGACCCTTCCACCACCTGATCAAGGTGATCTGGGGAATTTTCTTCTACTTACTTCGGTAGTAATGCTTTGCTTTATATTTATTTGATTGATAATCTGTTTGAAAAATGTATCTTTCTTTTGGAGTTTGGATTATTCCCTTGATCATGTTTTTGGAGGAGGATCCAAACAGGATGCATTAAAACTATTACTTAATATATTTTTTTCTCTTTACCACATGCACAAAAAGTTTTACTTATATCGGAGAAGTAAAAAACATAAAACATTGGTTATAGCTTTTTCTTTTTCCTTTTCTTTTCTGACATAGATGTACATTCCACATTTTTTGACAGGCTCGCTCTTATGTTTTTAATTTGGGTAGACTAGACTCACTGGTGTTTTGAATTTGAGGGTTTGCTAACCTATTGAAAATTGTTCCGACAGTGATAAGTACTGAAGCCAAAAATATCCTCCTGAGACATATTTATCAGCATGCTGAAGAGAAGGTTAGTGACTCTTGATAGTTAAAGCTCTTATTTTGGTGCTGTTAGGTCTGCACATGCTTGTGTACATTCCTACATCCACCCATCTCCATGAGGGATCTTATAGATGTCCATGACCGTTTATCTTTTGCAGTTGAAACCAAAAAGGGCTGCGTCTGAAAACCTTTTACCGGAGCATGGATGCAAGCAACCTAGAGTTTCCAGCTGACACTTTTCATTAACCCACTTTTGCATGTGATTGCGAGCTATTTTTCCAAGAATGGTTTGGTGATTGTTTGGTTTTTGTGAACTTTTTTTCCAGCTATAGACTTGGGGCATGTAAATATAAAGCCCGTTAATGCTCATCAAAATTTAAAGTGAATGAAATGATGATGCTTTCATTGTTTATTTTGGTGCCATGCTTGTGCTACGTAGGAAGAGATACGTGGTTTAATCGAGGATTTTCAAAATGCATCTGTCATTTGGATTTAGGAGTATTCTCTATCTAACTTTTTAGATGCAAAAGTAATTATTTATATGGCGGATTCTGTTCGCATTCTTTACCTTCTAAGGTTCATCTTTTTCTAATTCATTCATCATTGATACAAATGACTTTGTTCTCTAGTATACTAATAAATGGTTATGAATCTAGTTTTATGACAATGCAGCTGATATTAAGAGAAGAGAACTGGTACATACCTCATTTATTTTATAGCAATCATACTTTAATATACGGGTATATGTTGTTAATCAGCTGTTGTAAATACACTTTTTTAAAAAGAAAAAGTGGCTTAATAATCTGAGTCTCATTGTGTGGAGATAAGACTAGGGCCAAAAAAGCATTCGGTGGCTACCTAACTGCTCAACTTCTGAATAAGGAAACTCAGCTCAATCTTCCAATGAAAGGGCTTATGTTATCCTTTTATGATTTGTTTGGACAAAAAAAATTAGATGTTGCCTCTTTTGGGCATTCCTTAACGTATAGAGACTAGTTGATTATCTGTAACTAGGTAAAGTGTTTGCCGTTTTAGGTGGCTCTTTTTTAGTAATACTAATGTGTTACTGGCATTCTCCTCAGTAGTATTGGAGGTGCTTTAGAAATCTACTACTTTTTTTACAGCAAGAAATATTAATTAATTAATTTGGACATGTGTCACGAGTTTGATCATGAAATTTATTAGAATAAGTTAAATATATTATTTTATAAATTACATCAACCTTATTGAAATAGAGTCTGAGAGTGACAAGTTATTTTCATATGTTGAAATAAGTCTATTATAGAGAGGGAGGGAGAGTAACTCATCGATAAGCATCGGTTTGGTGGACTTTTGATTTGGGAGATGATTGGACCAATCGTGATAATTAACTATGTGGAGAGAGTTACTGTTCACACTTTTTTTAATTAAAGAAAAGAATCACACTTCTTATATTACAATTTGATTCCCTTGCCTTTTAAAAAATAAATTGACAAAAATACCCCAACGTATGTCCTCCAAACATAAATTTATTTTCATTATGTATCTCGATCACATTCACCACAGAAACATGTTTTTGTTGTGTATTTAGGTTCTAATACACAGAAGGAAAAAAATGCATTGTATGTATGTTCTAATATATTATGAAAGCTAATTTTTATAATATATTTTTATATATTACAGAAGTTATTTTCTATAATATAGTTAAGCTTTAATACATTATAAAACTATTTTCTGTAAAAAGATTTTTTATTTATTAATTTTTAAAAAAGCAGGTGGTACAAAGAGCAGAAAGGAAGAGGTGTAAATAGCATTGACCCTGGACAAACTATAACTATGTGAGTTGAACCAAGCCCATTTTAGTGTTTAAATTAAACAAAAATACAAGCGATGGAGAATGATTGTGTCTAGAACCCTCAACATAGAAGCAGAACTGGGAATGGTGTCTCTGCTTAGTCTAAGACCACATAAATTTAGCAGGTTTTCTTTTTACCATAGTTAGTTCTCAAGATTAATTAAAATGGATCAGACATGTTTACTTAGATTAACTACTCATTAGTCGTGTATCGTGTCTTCACCCTTATCTGATCTTTATTTATAACGATATATAAAGGATGTTTTCATTTTTTATTTTTTTTAGTCCCTATTTTATTATTGAGAAAATTGCCTAAAATGTCCTAATATTTTTTAAAAAATTTCTTTTAAGTATTCTTTTCTCTCGTTTTACACGGTTTGTCAAGGTTGTATTAACATTCACCTCCTATTCATACAACTTTTCTCTTTTTATTTATTTAAATAAAATATAGAAATACCGAATATCTCTTTTTTATTAATCTATATCCATCCATATATAAAGGAGACACATGGATAATAAGTTATAATTGCCTTTTCATTTCTACATTTCCTTAAATAATTTTATCCTTAAATCTTTAAATAATAAGATTATAAATTAACAATTCCTATAACCATTCAAATAAATTAACTATTTTTAATCATTTAAAATTTTTAATTATCTCTATTACTTAATCTAAATTTTTATTTTATTTTATTTTTAAATAAAATATAAAGGTATAAAGTGTCCCAACCTTATTAATTATATATAAAAGAGATATAGAAAAAAGATATTGAATAATTTTGGTGTATAATTTTTATTCGACTTTACGTTTAATTATTAGAAACTGTTTAGACTCACTTATTATTAATTATTAACTATTATTCGACTTCAATTATTTTTTATTTTTAAAAAATTCATAGAAGTACAAAATACTTATTTTATAATAATTAATAATACAATCATTGTATACTTTATTAAGAATGTTTATACATATTAGTATCTATTTCATCTTTTCTAATTTAGTTCTTTCTTTTTTTCTTTTTTACTTCACGGCCACATACATTCTTTTAAGTAATTACTTATTATATTATTATTTTTAATTTAATTTTAATATTTGTTTTTTTTAAGACAAATCCTCTTGTTATTATTTTGTTAATTACTACTCAACCTCAATTGTTTTAATCTTTTATTTTATTAATTAAAAAGCACACCGAAGAACATAATTAGGAGAGAGAACCTCACTAAAATTGATCAGCAAAAGTTCTTTGATGGAGATTAGTAAGTAACAAAACTTATGAATGCTACATATCTATAACATGATTAAAAAAAAAAACTCTTATTACTTTTTTTATTGTTAAAACAAACTTCTCATTCCTTAGTTAATGCTTTAATGACATTTTTTAACAATTAGCCGGAGTCTATAATGGACCATTACAATTGTATTTTGTAATGTTTTAGAATAGTGGATTAAGCCTAACTCAACCTACAAAACCGGCTTGTAAGGTGAGGGTTGCTTTCTACTTTATATACTATTCAATTGTCTAATCTCTAGTCGATGTGGGACTTGGGTTTTTCACAATACCCTCACGTCCAGCACTATTGAGCTTGGTACGTGGATAAATGGTAGGTGACCCTTTTTTAATGATTTAGAATTGAATATAAATGGCTCTGATATCATTTTAGAATAGTGGATTAAGCCTAACTCAACCCTACAAAACCGACTTCTAAGGTGAGGGTTGTTTTCCACTTTATATACTATTCAATTGTCTAATCTCTAGTCGATGTGGGACTTGGGTTTTTCCCAATATAATGGAAGACTAACATTTAAAGATTTATAGGTATTTCATTTATAGAATGTATGTATAAGTTTAAAATTGGTAGTGGAAATGGTTGGCTCAGATGGAAGGCACAAATTTTAAAGCTCCTTCAACCATTAGACACGTTTCTCCCTGATCATAGGCAGTCGTCACAAAACAAATCTAAAGTGAAGAGAGTGTTCCTTTTGCTATCCTCACCAATATAGTCTAAACTTGTTTTAAAAGAGAGAAAGACAATTGATTTTGATAAAAGAAAAAGGTGGTGAATGGTGATATGATGAAAATGTTCCATTGTGGTTTGTTTCCACTTTGAAGCACAAATGGTTTTCAAGTCAAACATGGAGAGAAAGACGCCGCCATCATCGCCTCTAGTTTTCAACATTTTGCAGCATGCTATGTATAATGCATGCACTCTCTATGTGCTTTTTTTAAAAAATATTATTATTATTATTATTATTTTAGGTAGTATTGTTTTTAGTGTGGATAACACATGTGCATGCATATGCATAGTTAGTTCGGAATTATCTTTATCTTTTCTGCCTTTCTTACTATACTATTTCTCTCTTTTTTTCAGTAAAAATACAGATCAAGAAATATGGTATTAATATATTATTTTTTCACATTTTTTTATCAAATGAAAATTCTATACATCATAATTTTTAGTAAAACAAAAATGTCTTACTTTGTTTGTCATTTTATAATATCAATAAAATATTTAACTCAAGTAAATATTTATAATTGTAACCAATTTATTTTATCTATATAAAGAAATTATAAGGTGATAAAAATGGAACATACGGTCTCATATATCTTTTTTAACAATTATGGTTACCCTATTGGCCTAAAGTTTAGACTTTATTAGAATTCAAAAGTTTGGCGGTTTGCGACGAAAAGCAAGGTACTGTTGTTCCCTAATCACCACATTTCATAAATGCGGGGTATGGAATATGGATAGCACAATTAGGGCGTCGTTTATTTAGCTTTTGAAGTTTCAATTATTTATGCAATTTCTCAAATTTATGGATTCTACTTTCTTTTAGCATATGCCTTTGATGGATTGAAAACAATCGAATTCAAAATTGTGCTGAAGGGAAAGTTGTAATTGTTTGCAGTGGAGTTTTCAATGTAAAACTTGTAAATAATAATATTAAAGTACATACTTTGCTCCCACTACAATTTCACCATATAATCATTTAAGATTATAAATACGTGGCATTTTAATTTTCATTTATTTAAGTGATATTTAAGAAATTAATTTAAATTGTTAATATTTTCAGAAATTAATTTAATATAAAGTTAATTTTTAAATTGAATTAAACTATAAAATAAAAGGTAATTAAACTATAAACTTAATGATCATTTTAGAAATTAAATTGGATCTAATATTTATTCTTGGAAATTTGATTTAGTATTTATTCTTAAATTCATCTGATTGCATCCTCTTTCTATGTTTCTTTATTTTACTCGTTCCACTTTGGCCATTTTTTATAAGACCAAAAATAAAAATATTGATTGATTTCTTTTATAAGAGTTAAGTTTAAACACCTCTTTTATTATTTTCTTTATAAGAAATATCTTTAATAAATTATTTTTATTTTAATAAAGGTCTCGTTGATATTAAAAATAATTTAATATTATCTGCTAAATTAATCAATTTCTTTAACTTTAACGAATTGGAATCTTGTTAAAAAAAATTGCAGGGAGCATGCACTAATTTAATTCCCAACATTTTAACTGTTTTTTTTTTGTTTTTGCTGAATGAGTAGGGGCACAGACCCCCCA